GACCGGCGAGCTGGAATTGTGTTCCAGCTCGCCAGGAAGGATTCCTCCCGGCGGTGTTGCCTCTCTTGGCACCCGGGTATCCCTTGGGATACCCGGATATCCGCCAGGTTTGGGCGGAAAAAACAGCCATCCGCAGCCGAAACCGCACCCGCTGGCGGGTATCCGCCAGCGGATAGCGGATATCCGCGGCGGATTATCCGCGACCATCTCTACCAAAACAGTTCTGCCATTGGGATGGAAGTGGGAATCATCAAGGGTATTAGATGATAGATTTCAAAGTAGGTGGGTGCTGAAGGCAACAGTGGGTAGTGTAGGTAGTTGACTGGTAGCAAAAAGATCAAGTAGTGATTTTTGCAAGCTAGTGGGCTTTTGTCAAGTTAGCAAGATGCTGTGTCAATGGACTGCTTGATCAATCCTTGGGGTCTATTATTCAATCCTTGGGGTCTATCATTCAATCCTTGCGGTTGTTTGTTTTGTTTGTTGGTCATTGCTCTGATGACCCCCATAGGGCGGGCTGGTGATATAAGAACGGTCAATCCGGCAGGTGAAATACCACTTACATAGTGTAACGGTTGATCATTACAAGTGCTTCACTGTCATTTACCTTACCCCCAGGAACACCGACCCCAAGCCAGTTCGATTCCCACCTCCCAGCACGTCTCCTTATCCCCAATATCGCCCCTGGCATGATTTTCGGGACAACCGTGATCTTTGGTCTGCTCTTCATCATGGCACTCCTCCCCGATAGCCTGGCCAGTAGAATCGCATGTGTCAAATGCGGTGACGACGCATACGAAAGGATTACACCTGACTATCCTCGCTCAGCAAGTTGTGACGAGCCCATATCAGCAACCGAGGTCTGTCGGGTGACCCGTACGAAGATGTACTACCGATGTCGCGACAAGAGCTGCGGGGCAATATCTGTGAAGAACAAACAATGTCCAGCTGCTAAGCCCGAAGGCTGCAAACATGAAACTAGCAGGCTATATTTGAGATCAGAGGAGACCGTGACCCCACCCTCTCATGAAACACCCCCTTCGCAAGAGGGAGGCCCTTCGGGAGAAATTCCCTCCGAAATGATTGGGGATGTCAGGTTCTTCCACTTCCTCTAGTGATAAGCGAGCACCAGGTACCCCGTAAGGTTGATAGCCACCCCTGGACAATATTTTTTGGGGCTGTGGATCCACAACTAGAAGAAGATGAAAGACCTTTGCATTATGTAACCGGCCAAGGTTCTGATGGAGGTTGATCTGTCGGTTCTAGCGAGTCCTTGTTTTCGCAAGGGTGGGAAATCTCTCCCGGTTCTTCTTGCCTCCACATGACTTGATATCTTGCCGCGCTTGCCCAGCCCGCTAGCCCTCCGCTGCTCAGCTTTCTGCGCGTCGAGGAGGTCGCTTGGCTGGCGTCCCTCCATGAAGGACGTGCGTGCTCGTGCGTGCCTCTCTCCGTGCCGGTAACTCCCAATCGTATACATTGGGGGCAGCCAAGCTGTGATGATGATGGCGGAATTGGTCGGTCCCTTCGGGCGTGAAGCGCCGCCTCCCGCAGAGAGTGCTCCGTTCGAGGGAGGTCAGGAGATGGCAGAAGTGATCTTAACCATCATCGGAGCTCATCGAAGATCGGGAACTTGGTGGAAGAAGGAGATGACAGATTAGAGATTTCGTTGTTATTCTTTCTGATTCATGACCTCTCCTTCGCTTCTTGTTCTGTTTTTCCTCATTCGTTCTTGTTATCGTACATAAACCACCCAGTGAAATGGAAATGGACGATAAAAGACCCTTAATTGCTGGTGAGCGAGCACCCTCGAGGCTGGCCCTAGCAGTCGTTGCACCGTAGGGTACACTATCAGTCTCCTTCGTCCAGCCCCTTCGAAAGAAAACCTTTGATCATGTCCACACGAGATTCCATCATGTCATCATCGACACAACAGTCTGAGGTGCATCTGCCGAGGCACCTTCTAACCCAACATCAAAATCCCTTTATACGGTCTAGTGACCGGTCTCCAAAACCAAGCCCAGTCTCACATTTCACGTCACCGCTTGATCCCTTAAATTTTCCTTATTTTTATCTCCGATGAGGTGTAGAGCGAAGATCCGGTTGGGGAAATGATATCATGTCACGGTCGGGTTAAAGGCTCTATGAAGAAAACATCATCATTAGGATACAGTCACGCTTTGTCAACCGTTCCTCGTGGGTAGAGGGAACAAATGAAATTTTGATGATAAATAGAAGGGCTTGGCTCTCCCTTTTCCATCATCAACCCACAACCCCAGAAACCCCAGAAAGTACCACACAACTCGACTCTCTATATAGCTACTCCTAGATCCCCAATCATCTACAAACACAACTTCAAGATTTACCAATCATTATGAACTTCTCAACGACCTACATGGCTCTTCTATCCATCCTCTTCATGAGCTCATGTGCGGCTCTACCAAGGCAAGTTACAGGCTGATTTCACGACTTGGCGTCTGAGCTTCCATCAAAACTTCCGTAGAAAAAAAAAACACCCAACTAATATTTTTTGCTCGACTTGCTTTATCTCTATAGCGGAGGCGGTGGTGGTCTTCTTGGCAAACTAGGCGCGGCTGGTCTACCAGCCCCAGCAAAAGGGTACATCGATCCTTTTGAGCTGGAATTGTTATCTCTGTACACACTATCCTAATCCTCCTTTCCTTCCTTTTCTCTCCACTTAGTGGAGCTCCTGCAAAACCAGCCCCTTCCGCTGATGCAGCAGGCGCAGCAGCAGGGTATATCAATGACTCTCTTTGACCTCTTGTGGATTGCAAATTCTCTACTCACCAGCCTTGTTTTCTATTCTTCTCCCCAATCTATCTTTACCTCTCGACCCGAACTCGATATATTGTGAAATATTACTGATTTCTTAGCGGAGGCGACAGCAAACCCGCCGCGGACCCCCCAGCTAAACCGTATGTCAACCACCCCTGTTTTCCCTCTCCCCCTCTGATCTATCTGATCTTATCCAATTCGAAGCTGACATACATTTGGAAATCCTGGTAATTTTTCTAGCGAGGGCGACAGCACACCCGCCGCGGACCCTCCGGCCAAAGCGGACTCCCCAGCCCCAAGGTATTACACTCACCTTCATTTCGCTTTCATCCTCTGGTCTACACTTGCCCGCCTCAAAACTGACATACATCGTGAAATCTTGATCATTTCCTAGCGCCAACCCCCCCGCTGACTCCCCTGCCCCAGCTAAAGCGCCGGACACCGCAGCCCCAGCTAAAGCGCCAGACACCGCAGCCCCAGCTAAAGCGCCAGACACCGCAGCCCCAACTAAAGCGTATGTCAATCATCTTCTAGTTCTCGATTGTAATGTGATAAATCATCGATTGCCTTAAAATATTTGCTCTGCTTTTTAACCTATCATGTCCCATTTCCATCTAACTTGCATTGAAACTTAACAGTGAGAAGCTCAAAAAAGCTTCAATGATCATGGATACCATATCCAAAGCGTGCGTATTCCAATTACACTTCCATGTGTATCTCTCTTCCATATCACATAATTGGCATCTGTACCCTGCATCATACACATCCATTGACACTACACAATTTTTTCCCTTGGTTCCTCTGCAGCCTATCCGCGGGCGGGCTCTCGCTTTCATCCATGATCACTGGCGCCGTCGGCACCGGTCTCAAAGGTGGTGCATAGTATCTCCTATCTTGACTGCCAACGACTGCTCGAAGCTTTCTTTTTTTTTCTGACACAAAGTCTCGTAGACTTCACTTCTAAAATATATAAATAACAACTTTGCAAATCAGTCAACCCTTGTACAGATTAAAATCAATGTTTATTCTTTATCATTGTACCAGTACTTTTCTCTATGTAAACATACCTTTGGAAATTCATGCCATGCTATTCCTCGAGCTTTCTATCCGCATCAATCTGGCATCATCATTTGAGTTACTCTGAATGATGTTAGCTCAGAGCTTTCTTGAACTCACCTTTTCTGGAAGGATCTAAGGCTACTTTCCCAAAATTGAACAGTCATCAATTCCGCTTGAGAACAAAGCCAAAAACTGGTAAGACAAATTGGTGAATTTGTGTCCCAAGAAGCCCAGCTTACCTGTAGCATTTCAATTCATTTGAAATCACTTGAATAGAGCTTGGAAAACTGACAAATTCTCCTGCTTGGATAGAAAGTAAGTAAACATCTTTATTCCCAAGAATACATCCATTCATTATTTGGAATCTGACTATTATCACTTGAAAGGTGAATTATATTCCCTGAATGCAGACTTTGAAATTTTGAAGAGAGACTTGGTAGCAATGAGGGGTTGTGCAAAAGAAGACCTGAAGTTTGCAAAGAAATCAGAGATAAGAACATCATGATATCTTTTGAGTAAATTGAAGCTTATCCCCTTACTCTTATCACCTCACATTGAAGATAGAATTGCCACTTTGGAAGCCAGGAAAGGGATCAGAAATAGGTTTCTACGTAAAATTGGACATTTCCAAGGATTGAGAGATGATTTCAAACCAGACACTACAAATCAGAAGACATCAACAGATTTCATAATGGAATTTTTGGATAAATCATTATTTACAATCAACTCATCTGTCAAGCCAAAGGCATATATTGTGTTTGATCCATATGAAAAAATGGGATTGAGATTCTAATGGTTCATCTTTCAAACAGTCAGTTGCATGTTCAAGCATGAAATTATAACTGCAAACCAGTTGTCACATTTCTTCAAAATCAACCACAACTTGGAAATTGCTGCATTCAACATGATTGCAACTTTTGAAGTAAAGTTTGGTTGTGAAAGATTTTATCCAAAGTATCCCACCATTGAATTCATTCTTAAAGATGAGTATTCATCATTATTTTGGCCTTTCTTTGAAGGTAAGTGGAGGTTTTTTTTTTCAAGGTATAAAGTTCACCAGTTACTCATTTTATCTCATCATTTAATTCTTCTGTTCCAAACAAACTCTCAGTATTTGAAAAAAGACAGCAAGCAGAATTTGATTACTTTTCCCTAGAAGCAGTTATTAAGCATCACAGATCATATCATGATAGAGGTTTCCTAGACAAATTTATCACTTCAATTTTTCCACATGGTAATTAATCTTTTGATTCAATAGAAAATCACAATCAAGAACCAACATCAGAAAAAATGGAAAACACACACTATCTAGACGAAGCTGCACAAATCAACTAAATTTGCAATGGGGTGTTTCCTGGAACCTAAAGATACATCTTGCTATGAAGAATCAACAATAATCAGCTTCCTTTTTGTGAATTTCATTCAGAAACATTACGGTGATGGTATTCTGAATATTGGCCAATCATTGGATGGAAACATTGATCTGAAATCCAGTTTGATGTCAAATAGCCTCCAAAAGCTTGAAGAGATGTGTTGGATCCATCAGTATGTTGATCAGTTAAAGGCAACCAGTCTTTCCCAGGCTCCTAATCCTATCCAGAAGAGTATAGAATTTCACCACAAATTTAGATCAGACGGTACATTGCGGTCACTGGCAAGAACATCTGGACTTTGAGAACCAAATCCTTGCCCAAAATTCTATTAATCAAGTTTACTTGCAACATGAAAATTTGGATGATAAGTGGAAATCCCTCTGGTTTTCTTCCTGGAAGGCTCAACAAAAACCGGATGTTATTTCTGCTACAAGTACTAACCAAGTGGAACATTATTACATCAGCTCTTTTGTTTAACAGTTTCACATTCTCACATCTTATCCCCCACACACACCAATTTTATTTGTGCTTTCCTTGATCAATATTAGAAGTCATCCTTAACCATCATCTGATATTCAAAGTTTTCGACCAATTCCTATTTTTCACTCAACAATTAATAGCAGTTTTTAAATCTTTCCTTATTTGTCAAAGATCTTGTTCTAATTTTTTTTTTCCTTCTAGGTTCTTGCAACTGTTATGTATTTGCAGAGCACAGTTTGTGTGAAACTTGCAGAGGATTTGTGAGGAAAATCGGCTCTGGTGGACCCAGAGATGTTGACAGGAAGTCCTGCACTGGTGTGACAATTTGGATTGGTCATAAAGAAGAGGCTGTCAAGGGATTAAATTTAAATCTGCGGGTCTCCCAGTTTCAATTTAGAGCCAGGAAAGCTGGATTTCCCTGCAAAAATCCTGACTTTTCAGGTCTAAACCGCAAACTGCGAGGGTCCCAGATCCGATGGGAAGTCCTCCAATGCTTCACCAGAACCATTACACAAAACTATAATAAACACAACCGACATGGATGGATATGGATAGATACATAACAATGTGTGTTTTGAATTGGATAGAAAGACAAGCAGGATAAGACCATTTCGATGATTAATCAATTCCGGTTCAACAGCAGCATGCCAAGCCGTTCGGAAGGGCCGACAGGAGCAGAGACGAGATGCTCGATATCGTAGACAAGTCGGGTGGCGAGGACGGTAGAGACGACCCTTCCGGACAGATGTTTTCCGATGTAAGCCGAGATCTTGTTCTTGAACTTCAAGTCTTCCTTGGTAACCTTTTCGATTTATCGGGACAATTTGAAATGTTGAAGAAAGATCGAGAGAGAGAGAGGGGGGGGGGGGGTTAGTTTGGGGATGGGAGAAGGGGATCAAGAATATAGGACGCAACTTGGAAGGCTAGATTGGGATCAAAGATGCAGAGGTCGCATTGATATCCGGGTGCAAGGGAGCCCTTATGGCCGTCCCAGCTCGCAAAGGAAGCGGGCCGTTCGCAGAGCCCTTTGAGGAGGCGCCCCTCGAGATGCGAGACGGCTCTCTTGCGGGCCTCGGGCCAGAGGAAGCTCAGGCGAGCCCCAGACCGGCGGATGGCTCCCCAGGCGTCCATCAGACTGCCCGTCTCCTTGAGCTCCGGCGTCGCGATGGCGAATGGTCCGAGACCACAAAGTCGATCGTCCCTTCCTCAAGTCCCTCCCATAACTTGTCCCCGTTCGCCGCCGTCCGGATCGGCGGACAACACTTGTACTCCGCCCGGCCATCCGGGATCTCCTCGGTCGACAACGTCAAATAGTGCAAACATGTCTGTGCACTCTCATCCCCTCATCAACCCTCTAACCAACCACCACGTGTATACAAATCAAAGGGAACGGGGGTATCTATCTTACCTCAGTCGTCAGAGGAAGCCCATGGGTAGTCCGGGCCTCTCGGATCATCGGCAACGCGTCTGCCGCGCTGAGATGGACCACATGGGTGCGCAGGTTCGGGTACTTCTTGTTGAGCCGGATGATGAGCTCAATCGCGTCTAGTTCAAGTTTGGGCGCCCTCGAGCCTAGGAAGCTCGCATACAGGTTTGGATCCTGTGCCTGACTCTCCTTCAACAACTCTGCGCTCGTCCCACTCTCTTCTCCACAGTCTAGCTCCCCATGAAACATCAACATCGAATCCGCATCCTGTTTGAACGACAAATCAACCCCGCCCACAAAAAAACACCCGTATCATCAATCAACTTGCCTTTTTTTTCACCAATCGAAATGATGAATTTATGAATGTGCAAAGGGGTAGGAGAGAAAGAAGGAAAGACCTGTAGGATGGCCATCGATTTCTCGAGATCCTCAGCAGAAACACACGGGAATTCATCGACCCCAGAGTCGATTAAGAAGCACTTGAACCCTTTAACTCCAGCCTTGACGAGGGGCAGGAGGTCATCCTGGCAGCATAGAAGGATGATCGAGTGTATAGATTGTTAGGAAGAAAGTTATCGATCGAAGAGACACAAATCTTGGGCAGGAACTGATATGTACAGACCTGGTTGCCAGGGATCACTCCGCCCCAGAAGGCCACATCGACCAAACATTGACCCTCGGCTGCACGTACCTTCTCGTTCAGATTGGCGAGCGTCGTGGTAGGGGGGATAGCGTTCAAGGGCATGTCGACGAGAGTAGTGACTCCACCGGCGGCGGCAGCCTGTGGCGGTCCGAAAGCATACACCGCACAGATTTTAATGATCATGACTTTCTGGTCTATGAACCCAATTTCGATGCAAGGAATGAGAGCTCATGGTGAGGAGGAAAGAGATAAATACGTTGGTGCCAGTCTCGAAGCCTTCCCAGTCGGTCCGGCCGGGCTCGTTGAGATGCACATGAGGATCGACGAGGCCGGGAAAGACGATGAGAGGGGCGGGCAGAAGATGGTACTCGACGGAGTCGGCCCCGTAGCTCTCCCGCGGCACGATTCCAGGACGGATGGCGGTGATCAGTCCGGTGTCGATGGAGGCCTCGATCGTCGCCGGCTGCGGCTCCGAGAATCGCTCCTCCTGAGCCTCCGATGGCCGCTCGGCCGTTATACCGTCCACCGTCCTTCCCCCTGGACTCGGAAGCATCGCTCGCTCGATCGCATACACTACTTGGCGAACTGTGCTCGGCCTCGGCATTGTCTTCATCGCTTCCCGCTTGCGTCCTCGAGCTTGTCTGTTAGTCGGGCAACCGCGAACAGAGGGAGACTTTCTCGTCGACACGTGAATACCGCAATCTTGCATCTGCAATCCATCAACATAAACTTATCAAGTTGGCTAGCTTATTTAAGTTTTTTTAGGTTAACGTGTATGTACCACTCTGCAGATCATCTATCAGAAAAAAACATGTCGGAATTAAAAGGTTTCGGTTGGTGACCGTTGGAAACCGTTGGCCACCCTGCCAAGAATTTTTGCAAGTCATCTCCTTCCAGCTGACTCTCAATGTAGGAAATTTATTATCCGCGTGCGGGAGTCGGCTATGTAACAACAACAAGAGTAATATTACTAGATGATCTCTCGTCCTTCCTTCTCCCTCGATGTATAAGCCGAGCTGCCGAGACTTCACAACACCATCCCACACGGTTTTCCTTATTTTATTTTTTTTTTGTTCAAGCCAAGCAGAAAGAACAGTAAGCAGAGGTTATTAAAAAGATTGGTCCCTTTGGCTGGTGGCATTTCCAGAGCCAACTTGTCAAGTCAACCAGAAGAAAGACGCCGACAGCAACAACAAAAGAAGAAGAACGTTTGGGGATCCATATGTACAGATGGTTTCCTTGAGCCCATGCCGACTTACAACCGTATGGAACCGATCTTCGTTCTTCTTGTGGTGTATGTTTGCACCCTTTAATGGCTGGAATAGTGCTCGTCAACAGACAGTCCTTCATCGTCCAGCACACATCGCTCGTCTCACTATATATAACATGAGAACAGAGTTCGCACCAGGTTCCAGCATTCCCCGTCCAACCCTTCGAGCTTCCTACATCTTTCGCCTCCCGTAAATCCTTTTTTTTTTTCCCAAACACTTCTGAGAAGTGCCATTTTTTGTGTATCTAGTTTTTGAGACAAGATGAACTCATTTTTGATGATGGCCTCCATGAGTGTGCTTGTATTCCTCCTCCTGTCGAACTCTTTTCATTCGCTCGTTGATGCCAAGTCCACCTCGTCCTCCAAATCCGACTCTTCTTCTACCGGTTCTTCTTCTTCTTCTTCTTCTTCTTCTTCTGGAAAGAAGACGGGCGAAATCTTCCCCTTCAGAAAATACGAGGATTTCCAAGTAAGACCCACCCACCCTTGCGCACCACACCCAATCCGCCTCATCTCCTGCTGCTCCATCCCGCTTCTTTCTACCCCATGCACTCCAAAGGGTTCTTTTTGTCAACCTGTGTGGACGAACAAGGAGAAGGAAGAGACTGACCAGGGAATTCTCGAACTGACGATTTACGCTTGATGCTTGCAGATTTCCGATGGGGTTGCGGGCCAGGCATTCGAGAACGCAGGCAAAGTATTTGTCGAGCCATTCGCCGGAGTGCCATTGGAAAAGATCACCAAGGGAGACATGGACAACTTGCTCAAGATGGCTCGCGCGGCCAGACAGAACGAGTTGCTCTTCAACCAAGCCTTGAAAGTCAGCCCCCCTATTTGTCTCGAACCTTTCTCCCCTTCCTCACTCACTTACTCACACCCTACTTTTGTGTTCTTATCTTCTTCTTGATCAGAAAGCTAAAGGCTCTAATAAAAGCGCTTTGGCGGCTGGTAAGATCGCCAATAAAGTGCTCAAGTTGGTCGGTAAGTGTCATCGCACTTCATCTCATCGTCCACATGTCTTCCCAAGAACTCCTTTAACTGACTTCCGAAACCTTATTATAATTTGGGAACCGCAGGTGAAATCCAGGTGATCGAAGTAAGCTTCTATTTTGTTGAAAGAAAAAAAAAAAAAGCATGATAAGCAGGATTGAGCCAGCTGCTGACTGTGCCACCTCATATATGTAACCCCCACGCCAGTTACAAAAAAAGTTGAATATCAAGCAAGTTGATGTGCCCGCAAAGCTAGCAGAACACCAAAAGAAGTAAGCAACAAACCTCTGATGATGACGACGACAAATGTAGATGGGACACCATTGATGATAGTTTTTTCGGATGTCATGTGCTAGGTTAACGAAGAACACCAAAGTGGATCGAAGCAATAAGGGCAAGAAGATGGTCTCGTATCTTTCCACCTCTTCCTCTTCCTCTTCCTCTTCCTCAGGATCAGGATCAGGATCGGGATCAGGAACGGGATCAGGCTCCGAGAAAACGAAGAGCAAATCGAAGAACAAGACGAAGTCGAAGACGAAGCCGAAGAAGGAAGAGAAGGAGGAGACGAAAGCCAGCCCCGAAGACTAAGCTTGACGCCCTAATGGACCCACATCCTATCACGGTTCTCTCCATCAAGAGAAGACTCCAACCAAGACGCCGACTTTCTCTTGCTTGTTGTTGTACCCTATCTGATCTGTGATCGGATATCTAAACAAATACATGAGCATCTCTTTTTTTTGGATAGGTTGCACCTCAGATCTACCGGGACCCTCACACCAGAAAGCTCTCCCTCACTTCCATCCATCTATGTAGTTCATAAATGACCCCCCCCGCTGGCTATTCTAACTGTCTACATGTACCAAATATAACCCCCTCCCCCCCTTCCTCGTCTTTATTTTTTGTGTTTGTATGTTTTTTTTATTTCGGTTAAGTAGTTCATCCAGCTTGTTTTGTTGCTAAGTTGTGTAAATCTGTGTATGTAAACCAAAATGTCAAATATGTCTGAAGAGGTCAAGAATGGCCAGCTTGTTTTTTTTCGGGCCCTTTTAGGGGAGTTTTTGGCCACTTGGATAAAAGTGTCCATACCCATTTTTTTGCCTTTTTGTGTATCCATGAAGCCCCCCCCCCTCTATCTTGTTGTAAAATAAACATACATCAAAAAATATCACCACCCTTATTTTGTTCTCTTTGTCAGTGTCGATTCGCGAATGTTTTTACTGTTGGTGTTTACTTGTGAAGGAAGGGGAAAATGAGCGGAAAAAAAGTGTGAAAGAATTGTTGATGACTGTAGCTTCAAACATGAAACATCAAGCGAGATGAATACAAAAAAAGAGAGAGGGGAGGGAGACATGGTTAGAGGGAGAAGTGAGGAGATGGATTAACGACGAGGATGAGTAGATCGTCTAGAAGTCTGTGAGCCTTTTTTGCCACGGACATGGAAGTCATGAAGGATCATCGGGTCGATAGAGCCGTCAGGTTTTGGGGAAGCCAGCCGAGGGAAGACGGCGACGCGGGAGACGTCGACGGAGGGGACCATGGTGCGAACGGCGGCATGGGAAGTGCGTTCGCTGGCGTCCTGCCAGCGCGGGATCCGCCAGGCCTGGTCGGCCGGGATCGGCCGACTGAAGGCCTTCGTCAGTCGCACCCGCTCCTGCATCGCCGCGATCACTAGCTCTCGGATCCGGATGCCCATCCCGCCTAGCCGTTGCTCACTCATCTGTAATACGTATCGGTCTAGACCTCCCATCTATAACCCCCCCCCCCACAACAAATACAACGAAAAAAAATCTTCAGCTGTCTTGTTTCTGATGATAGCCGAATCAATGGCTCGCTCAGAATCACTGACCCGATCAATCGACTTCAACGCCGCCGAAGTGACCTTTAATTGCAAGGATTGGCCCAAGACTTCGGACCATAAGGTGGTCCGTTGGACGTTAGGTTTCCACGTGCGTTTGGTCCGATGTTTCGATTTCGACACGTTATCGCCCGCACGTACTTTCAGTCCATCGTAAAGACCCTAGATTTTTGAGAGTTTCAGATCCCAAGATTTGAGATGAGACAGAGGATAGAAGCAGGGACGAACGTAATCGCCTCGTTTGGTATGTTGACGGGTGATCTTGAGCGGCGGGACGTAGGTGACACCGTACAGTTTCGGAGAATGCCGATCTCCTTGTTGTTGTTGCTCTAGAGTCGGCTTGGATGCTGTGGGTCCGGCAGTTTGGGTGCTGATCGATCGTCTGATGAGTGATGATGATGATGAGTGATGTTTGCTGGTTGTTATCCATCGGTTGAGTTGGTTCGGAAGTCTCATCTTTTCGATCGACTTTTTATTGAGAGTGGTGTGTTTTTTTTTTGGTCTGCAGTCTTCTCCCGGGGTCCATCGAGTCTCGCATGGTCCGGGGGTGCTTGGGTCGCAGGATCCGGGGCTACATAGCTCGGAGCGGATCATCCGTCCAATCAAACCAACACAGCAATGAACTCAACCAAACCCAACAAGACGGTCAAGACCCCATCCATCCATCCATCGATCCAGATTCCAGATGGAACCATCAACATCAACAGCCAACCAGACAACCCAAACAGGAACAGGAGAACCAGTACGCAACCTACGAAACAACCGATTCCTAGCCAAAGCCAAGATCAGAAACAACCAGATCAGCTTCAAGGGAGATCGTGAAGATCCCACTGAAGCCACCAACAACAGTCCTAAAGCCAACAACAATAGCAGAAAACGAACGAGAGATGGCAGTGTACGAGACAGTAGGAACGCAAGCCAATCAGTGGGCACATCATCATCCTCGAAGAAGAAGGAGACACCCACGGACCCGACAGGCGCGTCCCTCAAGCCGCTCCCTAAACGGGTCCGCAACTTCGTCGACTACGATCTCAGTACGATGAAGAACTCCAAGGGCGGGTTCCTGTTGGAGAACGAGGAGGACGATCCGCGGGCGATCAAACAGCGTCAGCAGATCGAGCTGCTCAAGAAACAGCGGCTCCAACAAGCAAAGCGACTTAATCAGGACCCTAGTCTGTCTCCACCTCCTCATTCTCACTCTGCTGGAGCTAGTTTTAATCATCTGATCACTCTATTGGTCTAGGTTTGTCGCTCGATAAGACCCAGAATCCTACTTGTACCGTGTGTGGATCAGTCGAATTGGATCTCCAGTTGTTCCAGGTCTTCAGTGTCCCGGTCTGTCGCAAGTGTAAGAACGAGCATCCAGAGCGATTCAGTCTATTGACCAAGACCGAATGCAAACAGGATTATCTCTTAACTGATCGTAAGTCCTACCACAAGAAAATCCACACATCGAAAAAACAACGAAGAGACTGAGTTTTTTTTTTTTTTTTGGTATGCATGAAAAAAAAAATAGCGGAATTGAAAGACAGTGAATTATTGCCGCATCTATTGAAGCCGAATCCGCACCAATCGACCTACTCGAACATGATGTTATTCCTGCGGGAACAAGTGGAAGCGTATGCGTTTTCGGAGAAGAAGTGGGGCTCGGCGGCGGCCCTGGATGAAGAGTTCGCACGCAGGGAGACGAGCAAGAAGCAGCTCAAGAACAAGAAATTCGAGGCCCAGCTCAAGGAGCTCAGGAAGAAGACCCGCTCCAACGTCTGGCATCGTAGACAGGAGGACATCCATGTTCATTCCTTCGTCAACATCCCCAAACCCTCTGACTCTCTTGGCCCAGTCCTCCAGAAATGCTCCGGCTGTGGCTTGCAAAATGAAGTCGAAACTTTTTGAACTTCTTATCTTCCTTTTCTTCTGAGCTCATCATCCACAGATTCATACATATCTTTTGAAATAAACTCATCTGGGTATTTTTTTTGTTTTGTTTTGGCAATAAAAAAACACAATGTAACCTTTTGCAGAGGAAAGCACCTTTCCTTCCTTATTTTCGGTTTTGTTTGTACTTTTTTTTCGTTTTGGAATCTACATACACAACATCTTTGTATTTTATCATCCTTTTGATTGGAGTGAACTCCTCTGGTGACTGGTGTTTGTTGATTCTCCTGGCCGAGTCTCAGCCAAACTCTGATGCGGATTCGATGGATTATGTAATCCAATTCATTTCGTTTTCTTTTTTTTTTTTTTTTGAAATTTCCAATCGACTCTCATCCCAGACTTTCCTCCCAAAAACCAAACAACAAACAACAACAACAAAAACAGAGAACCACCAAAAGAACAAGAAACATGAACAACAACCAAGCACCAACCATCTTCCTAAACCAGCCCATCCTATACATCAACGACCTGCCCCCACAAGTCTCCGATCAGGATATCATCTCAGTCCTACACGAGTGCTTGAGAGCAAGACTAAGGATCAACAGAACTGAGGACCAATCGACCCCATTGACCGGAACAGTCGAATTCGAGAAACTAGAGAACGGTAAGTTGGTAACACAGTCCAAAACAAAAAAAAAAACATAGTAGAACAGTCACTGATCAATATTAAATTACAGCCGAAAAGGCTTATGCCACCCTACACAACTGCTACCTCTCACAGTATGACTGTTACCTTCGACTATCTCACTCGGCCGATCCATCCCACGATCCCAAACCATCGGCCCGGATCCGGCTGATCAAATTCTTACCAGCGGATGTGAGTCCCGGCCGACTGTTCAACATCTTCCGACCATTCGGGCCGATCTACCGGGTCGCCCTGAACTACCACCATGCCCCAGATGGATTGCCCTTCTTCTCCGGGACGGCGGTGATCGAATTCTATACCGAGTCTCAGGCCTCGTTGGCCCAGAGTGAGATGCATTGCAGCGAGCTCGATCGACACACGATCGCCGTTGAGGAGTACGACGATCGAAGGGATAGGAGCGGTCGTGGGATGGCGATCATCAATAACTCGGCCACTCCTCAGTCCAAATGGGCCCAGGCTACACCCTTCGTACCGGTGACTTCCCCTTCCGGCCCACTGGATCATAATATCAACAACGCCAGACGAGCTAGCGAACACTCCGCATTCTCAGACGGACAACCTCCCGTCTCAAGATGGGCCAACGCCCAAACTCATCAACAACCTTATCTGCTCAACCCCAACTCCAGCTCCAGTGCCACCTCACCAGCAACCTCGAAATGGGCCTCCCCTCAAACCCCGCATGCCTCAGGGGCCACCAGTCCAGACCCATCCATCCCTCATCATCCTACCCCTCAACAGAAACAGGTCGACCCTTGTAACCTGTTCATCAAAGGCTTGAGTCCGGAAATCGAATCCGGGGACTTGTTCCATGCTTTCAAACAGTTCGGGACCATCGTCTCTGCAAGAGTGATGAAGAATGAAGCGACCGGAATCAGCAAGCAGTTCGGTTTTGTCAGCTTCACGACCGAGGAAGCTACCTCGAATGCGCTCAAGACCATGGACGGCGCCGTCCTCGGCCAATCCGCAAATCGCATCGTCGTCCGTCTACACGAACTTAAGAAGCTTAAGGAGGGACGGCCCAATAAACTGGTCCCTACTCTCTCTCCTCCCCCGACCACGATCGATTCTCCTGAACATCCGGTCTCTCTCCTCGCTAAACTCCAGGCCGCCGAATCGCATCCTCCCTCAATCACACAGTCCGGCCAAAGCTCAGCCGATCAGCCTGGTGGTATTGTACCCGACTCCGTCTGCGCTTCTTCCCAACCAACGCTCCACCAGTCACAAATAGTAAGGACCACATGCTCACTCTTATACCTAATTCTTTAGAACTCTGACCTTTTCTGTTTTTTTTTGTCCATCAATGTTTTGTTAGTCATCTGGAGCAGCAAAGGAGAATGTACTAAATGTTGAGACGGCGGTCCGAGAAGCCTCGCCGAGCCAGCGGACGGACGGAACGCGGCTAGGGATCGGCCCGGCCTCGGGCTGTGTCTCACCTACGACGACGTCGAGTGTGATCTCTGGCGGGGGAGGGGGCGGGACGCCGATGGTGACGGAACGGGAGCGGATGAAAGCGGCGGTGGGACGGTTGCAGGAGCGGACTCAGTCGGAGGGCGAGATGGAGGAGCTAGTGGAGCTGCTGATGGCCCTGCCGACGAGGGACCGAAAGCTCTGTCTGTTCAACCCCCAGGTGCTCGCCGGCAAGGTGGTCGAAGCGCTCGAAATCATCCAGACCCCCGACGACATCGGGCCCCCTATGACCGCAAAAAACATCGCCATCGCCGTCCACCCTCTCTCCCCCGCTCGCGAATCGCCGTTGCCCACTCCCTCCTCCGTCAAGGCCGTCGCTGGAAGCACCGCCTCTTTCCCTCAATCGTCCTCTTCTTCCTCTCCCCTTCCTTCGGCGTCTCCTTCTTGTCTTTCAGAACCATCCAAACCTCAAGCGAAACGGATTTCGATCAACGAATTGAGCGAGCTTTCAGCCAAAGAGATCATCGCGATCTTACTGGACGAAAACGGATCATCGAGTCGAGTGGTGATCGATGATCCGCAAGCTCGCGAGTTATTATTACCCGACCGATCGGCGGCCGAGTTCGTCAAGAAAAGGGGAGCGGTCGAGCAGTGGTTGGAGGCCAAGATCTTCTGCTTGGGCTCGGTCCATCAGCAGAAACAGAAGATCGGCGAGAAGCTCTTCAAGCTCTTGAAGAGCTTCGGCAAGCTCAAAAAACCCACCCCGAAGCTCACCGTCGAGCTCCTCGACTCCCAGGATCTCCATGCTCTCTGCTTGCTCATGGAACTCTTTCCCGCGGTTCTTAAGGCCAAGGTCTTGCCTCCTTCTGGATCTCCTTAGTCGCATAATCGAGCTTTCTCTCTCTCTCTCTCTTGCTCTCTAAATCTCTATACTCTCTTTTTTTCCTGAGTTTCATCGAATCTTTTATTTAAAAGCCATGATTATTTTTTTTTGTTTCCTTGGTTCCATTTCTTGAGTACATATTCCGTACAAAAGAGAGAGAGAAAACAAAAGTTAAAACATTGGGTGGTCGTTTTGGTGTTTTCTTTTTCTTTTTTTTTTTTTTTTGGATGTACATATTATGTATATATAAATACAAAATAATGCTTCAGTTTATCTTTTTTTTCGAGTATGTTTTTGTTCAATCTCATCCATCCTCAACAAAAAAACTAACCAACCAACCAACCAAGAAAAAAAGGACCTCCCGTCATCCTATATTTCCTTTTTCTTTGAATTCACAAATGACCTTCTTGATCATCTTCTATTTTTGTATGTCCAAAGTAACACATTATTGAACTTCTTTTCTTGCTCTTTTGTCATCATCATCATCATTTTTTTTTTTTTTTTTGCTTGAATAAGATAATTTTTTTTTCAGAGCTTTGTCTTTCCTTTTGATGCATCACTTCAATTCAATTTGTTGGAGCACGTATTCTCAAGTTGAATAATATAAGATCAGGGTGAGAGAGAGAGAGAGAGAGTACACAGCCAATGATGGGCCAGTTACAAGATTAGTAGGCTAAGCACACCTTGTGTAGCAAAGTGAAATAGCACTCAAAAGGAATGTGGCACCATGGGATTCTGGTGTGTCTGTGCTAATGCTTGCATGCAGACCCCCATAAGGGGCCCTGCTACCCCTCGCTGACTCCCTGGATAGGGGTTTTTTTGTTGGCCCTGCAGCGGCTATTAAGTAGCACATATAAGCACTGTGTAGCATATCGGGGTGCTATCACTGCACAATCTGCATGCAACATAAAATGCTACACTAGCACTTTTGGGGCATAAATGGGCTGCTGCCTATTGGAGGCATTACTATGTAAGCATACCATGGGGGGTATCAAATATAACCAAATCCACCACTATTTAATTGACTGGTTTGAATGTTGGTTATCCATTTAACCCCTTTTGGGGCCCATTTATGCGAAATAAAGTTTTTCTAAAAGTGACTGGTTTCTGATGGTGGATTTCCTATATTTGATAGCCCCTCATGTTGATGTTTGTCTTCATCACAATCTGAGGATCATATATCAGTTACATTGTTTTCTTATTTGGGGATTTTTTTGGGTCTGCAATCTTGGAAGACATCAAACGATATGGTTCAGTCAATTGTGCTCTTGCAACCAGTGAAAGCACAATGTAGCATAGTGAGCCCGGCCCTGGACTCATGTGCGGCTGTATTTTTTAGAGCCACAGGCTGAGGAAAACTGGTATTCCCAGATGGCATGGATCTATTGATCTGGGAGCAATCATGAATTTGTTGTAACCGGTTTGTCAAGAGCATTTGAATTCATTTGATTTTTGGGGAAAAAATCCAAAATGATAGAAACAGGATTCATAAATAAAATTTGATCAAGTCAAAACAGAAGGAACAAGATGTGGTTCAGATCTAGCAAGACTATGAGAGTGAATCCATTGAAAGCCTAAGAAAGACACCAGCCCATGGGGTGCTTTCTGTCCTCCTGCTCAAAAGGGATGTTTCTAGCAGGCTTGAGCAGGATTACACAAGTCTTCAATAACTTTGGGGTATCTCAAGAATCAATCAAAGGGGTAATTTATAGGTCAAGCAGACATTAAACATGTCCAAAGTAGCTCTGGATTTTGCTCTTGAAAAGATGGATTTTGATCAAATTGGAGCAGACCTGCTATGACCAGGTCCTGGCTGGATATGTTGTCACTCTATCCAAGGCGGCTTGGAAAGAACTGGAAAAATAGAAATCAGCAGGTGAGAGAACTACAGGTCTATGTGAAAGCAAGCTTAACATGATTCCTGAGTCCTGGTGGGAGGCTTACTGATGTAACTGGCTGGGTGCAAAGCACCCCCCTCCTACAGGGAGGGACTTGAATCCTCAAACAAATTTTTTGCATCAGTGTGGAACACTTGTTTGACCCACCACTCATTCACTATAAGTCAAATTTATTGTTGGTTCTGGTAGATGAAATATCTACATGATCTTGATTTTTGTATATACATTTTTTATCACAAAAATTTGTTTGATTCTACCCAAAAACTTCCAATCAATTCCCTGATTTTGAACTTTGATTTGTCAATTTGGCAGAGAGGCTCAAGCTCAATCTCAGTATAAGCATATTTTCTGTCTTCAAAACAAGAACTTCCATTTTCCCTTCATTCTTTGTTTTGTTTTTTTTTTCTCAAAAAGATTGGTATGGAAATGCAATTGAAAAAACAAATACAGAAAAATCTGTGAGGTGACAGAGAGCAAGAAGAACGGTGCAATGGAATTATGAGGAGAATGTCATGGAAGCCAGACATGAAAGTACAAAAACAGGCCAAAAAATCCCATCTTGCTCAGGCCAAAATGCTGCTTTTATGCCTAAGGCTCTCTGTGCTGCTGCCCAGACCTGCCTGCACAGCACTCTCACCACCATATTCCTGGTTAAGATTAGTGTGAAAGGGGGGCAAGCCTGATGAAAATAGCCCAATCCACCCCTGCTCCATTAGAGGTGCTCTAAATAAATCCAAGCAAAAATCAATCTGATTAGGGGCAACAGTGAGCCGCTACGCTGAACTACATTAAGAGAACGCCCTAGAGGCAGTGTAGCAACCCTGAAAAAATCCACATGATTCTGTAGAATTACCATGCTCTAAGCAGGGCTACGCTAACACTACACTGCATTGCACCACTTTTTGTAGACAAAACAGCTAAAAAGGGGTGTAATGCTATGTAGCAGCGCCAAAATTTGCTCCATGGCTGTCAGCAATAGGTGATACGCTAACAGCTAACGGAAAATATCTGTAGTGTTGGTGGTATTTTGTTGATGCTAAAGTCTGCATAGCTGTCCCACTGTTGTTAGGGGGTATAAAATATGACCAGACCCACCATTTTTAGGGCCTGCAAGATAGGGTTAAACTTGAAAAAAATGGGCATATTTTCCATCTTCCACAGAAAAATTTGGAACAACTGGACAGTTCTGGTGTTGAAAGTCTTCACCTTTAGGCCAAAAACTAGCTTTTAGCTTTGGTCACTTTTGATGATCTGAAATGTTGAGAAAATGAGTTTTCATGTCATATGGTACTACTAAAGGAAACACTGGGTCTATACTTGATGGTTATTGGTATAGTATTGTTATGCTATATATATTTCCAAATTGATTATAAAGGGTGTGGTTATTGTCTGATTTTCAGGGCCCTTTACTATAAGTTATAACTGAGGAGAACAGGAAATTCTTTTTGGTGATTTGATCTACTATAAACTGCCCTGGATGCTGCTTAAGAAATCTATGGCTCCTTGTGAGAGTCTCTTGACCACAGAAGGGCTCTTTGGAGATCATAGACACACTTCATGGTTGATAAAGCCAAGACCCTTTTAATATATTTGAATTGTGGAGCCAAAAAAAGTGACCTATATTATACCAAGCTTGATGGGACATGCACTGGCTATAGTATTGGCATAGTAAATAGAAATTTTAGGAAACTTTAAAATACTGAAAAGGGCCAGTTATAGTCAAGTATAGTGTAGACCCGGTGCTGCTACAGGCCCTCAATAATTTGACTGGTTTGGAATAATCAACAACTTATCAAATGTTCTGGTTCTTCACCTAAGTCATTGGTCCAAAATCTTGTTTTTGGAAATGTGACTGGTATCTAATGGTGGATATTTGATACCCCTATTAGAGGACTTCTTGTACAGACTGGAGCCCTTACAGAAGTCAATCTAGACTCAAGAACTCTATATTCTCATGGGGGAATTTGGCTTTTGAGGCTCCAGATTGGTTTTGAGGGACCTGCAGACTCTAACGGGAAGTTGTCCATTGTTGAAAGAGTTGATCAGAAAAAGAAAAAATGGAAGAATTAATCATCAGAATTTTAGAATTTGCATCAATCTTATTTACCTAATTTATCTTTTCTCATCCCATTTTAAAAATCTTGTTTGCTGGCAGCAACTCAAATCAATCTATAAACAAAAGCTTATGTTGAAATCCGAGCTTTGGAGGGAAAAGGAGAAAATTTTTAAATGGACTCTGATCACAAGTTTGAGGGACAAAATTTGGGAGAATTGTGGAAGAAAGGAGAGATGATCCTTGCTTGTTGCTTAGATAGATTGAATAGACTATGTGCAAGTATGATCAAGATATGGTTGAGAAACAATGATGAAATCTACATATAACTAAAAAAATAGCCTCAGAGGGCCAAACAAACCCAGTTCATTTCTAACACCGGCATTGTTTTTTATTCATTTTTTGACACTTTTCTCATGCGGCTTCTAACACCGGCGTCGATGTTGGAGAGTGAACTGGCCATTCACCCAGCAAGTGAAGGGCTGACAGGCCATCGCTTTCAGATTGCTTTAATTGATTGCTTTGATCCAATCTGAATTCATTCCAACCTCGCTGAGCCTCACCAAATTTGATGAACCTCCGGTTTGCTGAGCTATCATCAAGCATCCTCTTGGCCTACAACCAATCACAACTCAGCCTCCCTGATTCAGATTACTGTCAATTCCTACTCAGAAAGCAACTTTTTTCTGAAAATCATCCTTTTTGTTTAAAAAAGCCAATAACATCAAATAACATCAAAACATTCTTAAACAAGCCAGTAACATCAAATAACATCATCATCATGTATCAATTCAAAGGATATTGAAAATAATTGTAGCAAACAATAGTAAAAGCATCAGAAAACTTTGAAGAAACTGAAAGAGGTGGTAAAATCTGCAAGTAAGACTGACTGAACTCATTCAAATTTGAAGTATCATGCAATGTAAAATCTGCATATTCCCTTTCACATTGAAATTTTCCTAAGCTTGCTTTTAGCTTATAGTCCAAGGGGATCAAAAACTGCCATAGAAAGTAAAACATTTTTTCAGTTTTGAAACTGAAGAAAGTTTTGCTAATGTATCAAATGCTGATTGAATGACAGTAAAATTTCAAAGTACCATCTGTATAACATATTTTCCGATCTACATGAGCCTCAGATAGACA